CTCAGCCCCACGATTAGAATGTCAGTTAAACAGCAAGCGCCCGCAGACATGGCAGCAGCAGTTAGACTGGCAAAAGTACACTCCAGAGCAGTAAGAGATGAAATGAAGCCAGAAGCATCAACGGCAGCTGAGATAAATGAAGTAATGGCAGGAGAAATCAGGGAATTGAAGCAAAAGTTAGAACAACTCGAAAGAAGACCAGCACCAAATCCAGCTCCGGAACATACTCGACAACCAATCTCGAATATCATTTGCTATTATTGCCAACAGAGAGGCCACAGGCAAGCAGATTGCAAACTCAGGGCAATGCACAGGCGACAAGGAAGACAACCCTGGAATAGGCCCAGAAGGTTCCAGGATAATCCAAGACAGGGAAACGAGCAGCCCCGCCATTAGAGGGCATTGGCGGTGGCATTGATCAAAGACCCTCGCAGGGAGCTAGACAGTATGGGGACACTGACGTTTCAGGTCCTACATATTGCAAAGCCTTTGTGGAGGAAGAGGAGAGTAGGATTTTAGTCGACACTGGATCCTCAGTTACCATCATTTCTGCTAAATTCTTCGATAAGATTGCAGGAAAGATGAAGGCGAAACCTATCTTGGAGAAAGTAGTATATCAGATTCAAGGAGTGACAGGACATCTAGAACGACCAAAAGGAGAAGTGAAGAATTTACCTCTTAAGTTCAAGAAAAACGGAATAACCTGGGAACTAAATGCGTGTATAATGGAATCAGCAACAGCCGATATCATTTTAGGAACCAACTTTTTGATCAAACACAAGGCAACTTTGAATATGCTTGAAAAGCAGCTTGTTCTATCAAAGGCGAATGGAATGAAAGAAACTATACCTCTAGTTGAGAAAACGCATCTACACATCCGATCAGTGAATATAGCTGAGCCCATGGACATAGACCCAAACCCCAAATGGAATTGCAGCAAAGGAAAAGCTTATTATCGATGTATGTCAACATACATACCGGACGACATGGAAGATGATAGAGAGCCATGTTATAAATGCAAACCTCGATGGAATGAAGAGCAAGATTTTGAAGAAAAGAAAA